TCACTCATCTGCCCTTTAGGTCTCCAGACCCAACATTCATGACCTGCAATCCCAAAGAGATTACTTCGGTGGAATGACGGATTGCTGTTGTGTCCAGTTGAATTTATGATTTGGCAGGTCTGACTAACTGCCTTATGGTAGGAAGCACCATTCTCCTTGTCACTTAATGCTGTGTGATCTGGCACACAGTTGCTTGTAGAGTTCAGTAGTATACAGGAGCTACTTTTCTTTTCTTTCCTTTTTTCCTTTGGGAGCACTGGGGTTTGAATTTAGGTTCTCATGCTGCTCAGCAGGCATTCTTATTGTACTGTTTGAGCCACTCCTCCAGCCGGGAGCAACTTTTCATTGTGTATAATTATTTTGCTGCAGACAGGGTGGTCTAGTTCCAGAACTGTAGAGATCTACCACTTTGACTCTTTGGTTAGGATATATCAGAAACATCTTATAGGTTTTTTTTTTCTTTTTTGGTGGTACTGGAGTTTGAACTCAGGGTCTACATCTTGAGCCCTTTTTTTGTAATGCGTTTTTTTGGGTCTCGTGAACTATTTGCCTGGGCTGGCTTAGAACTGCGATTCTCCTGAACTCTGCCTCTGGAGCAGCTAGGAGTACAGGTGTGAGCCACTGGCACCCTTTTTATTTTTTGAGGGACTGGGAACTTGAACTCAGGGCCTCACACTTGCTGTGCTTGCTAGGCAGCTCTATCACCTGAGCCACTCCAACAGCCCCTAAATTTAAATACATATTTTTTATGGTACAGGTATTTGAACTCAGGGTCTTGCACTTGCAAGGCCGGTGCTCTACCACTTGAGCCAGTCCACCAGCTCAGTGTTTTTATTTTACCACAACAAACTCTAGCACCATGAGATTTGCCAAGTCATATAGCTCAAGTAACAAGGCTTCTACCTGCAGTTCTCTCTGTCTTTCTCTCTCTCTGGTATGGGGTTTAAACTCAGGACTTCATGCTTGTTAGGAAAGCACTCTATCCTTGAATCACACCTTCAGCCATTTTTGTTTTAATTTTTTTTCAGATAAGGTCTTGCTTTCTTCCCAGGCCTGGCCTCAGATTGCTATCCTCTTATCTATGCCTCCAGTAGCTGGGATTACTGGCATGTACCACCATGCCCAACCTTGGTATGCTCTCTTCAAGGAATTCTATATATAATAAATTGCCTGCAGGGAATTTATCAGAGAATATTTAAAATTTTAATAGTTGCTGAAAATTGGTTTTCCAAAGATATCTAACATCATATCTCCTTGAAGAAACTTATCACACTATATTGTGAGCATTGGACAATATGCTCATCCACCTATGAAAAGATGAAATTGCAGCTTCCCGGTGGTTCTGGTGGAAAGTGTATTCCTTAACATTGCTGTGACTTGCTGGAAGTCATCAACTGTAAAGGAAGGAAGCAGCTGAGATTGTGAAAAGTGTTATTTGGCATGGCTTAATGTTTAGAACGTGGATGGTGAGATCAGACTGCAGTGAAGGGTGTTTCTTCTTCAAGGAGAGAATTTAGAATTCACAAGGAGCATTCTAGTAAGTTTTGAGATAAACAAAGTTTGCATCAGTATACTTAAAGATGAAAGAAAAGATGGCAAATTGGACTCTGATATTGAGTTTTCACTTGTAATTTTTAAAGAATTATATTTTGGGGAATGGTGCTGCATGCCTGTAATCTCAGCTACTCAGGAAGTAGAGGCAGGAAGATTGTGAGTTTGAGACTATCTTAGACAAAATTACTGAGGCCAGTTACTTGGACCAAAGTTATTGAAACAAGCTGGGTGTTGTGGTACATGCCTATCATCCCAGCTACTCTGAGAGATAGAGTTAGGATTATGGTTTGAGGTCAGACCAGGCAAAGTTAGCTCAAGACCCTCTCTGAAAAAAAGAACTAAAAGCAAAAAGGAACAGGGGTATGGCTCAAGTAGTAGAGTGCTTTCCTAGCAAGTGCAAGTCCCAGAATTCAATCCCCACTTCCTTAAAGTTGCACATACACACAAAGGGCTGGGTTGCTCAAGCAAGCATGGCTCAAGCCATAGAGCACTTGCCTAGCATGCATGAGGCCCTGGTTTCAGTACATAGTACTGTCCAAACCAAAACAAATATTTATGTATGTGTGTGTGTTTGCTGACAGACTATATTGTTACATGAAAAAGTGGAATCCAAAAATACTTGTCAACTTAAAAGATAATGATATCCTCTTCCTTTTGCTTATCTGTGTTTTCTTATTTTTCCACACTGAAAATAATTTGCTCTAATAATAATAATAATAATAATATATTGCCATATACTTTCAGTAGGTAGGCTATACTTGGCTGTTAAGACAAGATTCTAGGGTCAAAATTAGATAACAGAAATGCATACACTAAAGCTTTATGACCGGGTGTATTACTTTTCAAGGTATTTTTAAATTTTGAGATAAAAGATTCACATGCAATTATAGGAAATAATGCAGCGAGGTCCCTATACCTTTTATCCAGTTTCCCCCATGGTAGTATCCTTAAAAACTCTAGCACCATATCATAATCAGAATATCGACATTCTCTTATTCAGACTTCTCAAATTTTCTTTTCACTAATTTGTGAGGCTGTGTATATAGTGCTACACAATTTTATCACATGTGTAGGTATTTATCAAAACAGTTTCATCATCAGAATATGCTCTGTGTTGTCCTCTCAAATCCATTCCTTACCTCTCTACCTCTGGGCAGCCACTAATCTCCCTTCCCTCCCTTCCCCTCCTCACCCTTCCCCTCCCCTCCCTTCTTTCTTTCTTTCTTTCTTTTTTTTTTTTTTGAGACCAGGTATTGCTATGTGTCTTGGACTAGCTTCAAATTCTCTATTCTCTTACCTCTTCAGTGCTGAGATTACAGGCATGTACCATCATGCCTGACACTAATCTGTTTATATTTCTAAAATTTTGTCTTTTCACAAACATTATGTAAATGTAATAATGCAGCATGTAACCTTTTAGGACTGACTTTTTCCATTCAACACAATTTCCTGGAATTTCATCTGAGTTGTTGCATGTTTTGATAGTTCATTCTTTCTTCTTGATAGTAGTATTCTGTAATACGAATGCACTAGTGCTAGTGTTTAACCATTTACACATTGAAGGCTATCTAGACTCTGTAGATCTCTAGACTCTGTAACAGTAACAATTTACCACAAATTAGGTGACCTAAAACAACCCAAACTTATTATTTTGCAGTTCTGGAAGTCAGAAGTCCTAATATAAGGTAGGTTGCCTATGTTCCTTCTGGAGGCCCTAGGGGGAGAATCTGTTTGCTTGCTCTTTGCAGTTTTGAGAGGCCACCTGCATTCCTAGGCTTTGTGGCCCTTTCTTCCATCTTCAAAGCCAGTAGTAAAACATGTTCAAATCTCTTTTTCCTCTGCCTTTCACATTGCATCTCATTCTCTGATTTCAGTCCTCTTGTCCCGGACATATAAGAAATCCTGTGATTACAAGGGGCCCACGTGGATAATCCAGATAACCTTTCTCGTTTCAAGAGCCTTTATTTAATCACATTTTTTGGCCATGTAAGGTAACATTTCGAGGCTTTCAGGGATTAGAATGTATACATTTTTGGGAGACAAAGCTTTCTACCACAGGGTTGTTTCCAGAAATTGGCTATTATGAATAAAAAATATAAGCTGGGCTCCAATGACTCACACCTGTAATCCTAGCTACTCAGGAGGCAGAGATCAGGAGGATCGTGGTTCGAACCCAGCCTGGGCAAATAGTTCTCCAGACCCTATCTTGAAAATACTCAACACAAAACAGGTCTGGTGGAGTGGCTCAAGAGGTAGAGAGCAAGCCTAGCATGAGGCCCTGAGTTCAACCCCCCTAAACCCCAAAAGACAAAAATATAAAGAAAGGAAGAAAGATACTATAAACACTTGCACAGGCTAATATGTTTGTGTGTGAGAATGTAAATCCTTATTTCTCTGGGATAAATACTCAGAAATTTAAAAACTGCCAATCTGTTTTCCAGAGTGGCTATATTATTTTACATTTCCACCACATGTCTGCGATGTCCAACGCCTCTGCCTCCCGTGGGTATGTGGAGTGGTTACTATTTATTTTAGGCAGTCTGACAGGCTTGTTGCCGCATCTCATTTCGGTTTTGATTGCATTTTGCTAATGGCTAACGATCTTGAGCATCTTTCCTTGTGGATGTCGACTCTCGAAAAAGATAGCAGTGCCACCTCTAAGGCAGATCTTAGAAATGTCAACCACGGAGAGGCCTGGAGTCCACGGCGCCACTTCCACGTGGCCAAAGCGGAGGCCGGCGCCGGGGCCCAGAGGGATGAGAGGCCACGCCCCCGGCCACGCCCCCCCCGCGCGGAGCCCGTTTGCGGCCAGAACCGAGGGCAGTCGGGAGCCGCCGCGAGGGGGCGCCACTGAAGGGGCGAAGGCCGCGGGCGGCGCCATGGCGTCTGCGCGGGGCGGCTCCCTGGGCCTCGTGGTCTGGCTCCTGCTGCTTCAGCCCGGGCTCGGCGAAGCCCGGGTGGCCCCGCTGTCCCTGGCTCCTCTCCCTTCAAGAGGAGGCGGCGAGGAGCCCGGAGCAAGAGGGCAGGAGTCGCCATCTACGGGGGCGCCGTCACCTGTGGGGTCGCCGGCGGGTCCTCCGTCCGGGGGCATGGCGGTGTCCCTTGATGCGGTGGGATATACTCCAGGTGACTCTTGTTTCTACGAGGCTCTGTCACAGAAGCCATCATCAACAACATGGACCACAAGGACTATGAAAACTCCAGGGGAAGTTTCTGGGCCACGTTCTGCCAGAGAAATGGCCTGGTTTTGAGGGGGATGGGAGCCTGCCGTGTAGGGGGATCCCAGGGGGACACGGTCCTTGGGTACGGGGTGCTGACGCCGCCCAGCCCCAAGGATCAGGACCCGGACCTGCCCCGGGGGGTCTGCGGGTCCTGAGGATCCGGCTGTGGTGCTGGAGTCGCGCCAGCTGTACTCTCAGCCCCTACCCTTCACTGACCTGTTCCAGCGTGTGGCCACAGAAGTTCGAGGATAGTCGGTGGACGGCCAGCCGCAGAGAGGAAGTGGCCCTGGCAGGTGAGCCTGCAGATCAGAAATGAGCACATCTGTGGAGGCTCTCTCATCTCCAATCGGTGGGTGCTGACTGCTGCCCACTGCATATATGGGTGAGTGTTTGGGGCTCCAAGCCTGGGCCCCTGACCAGCCTATGTGACCTGAAACCAGCCCTATCCCCTCCTTGAGCTTCCTCTTCATCTGAAAATGGGAGTGACAGCCCCAGGGTTTTTATTCAGGCAGGTGTGTGGGGTGGGGGGTGGGAGTGAGACCTGAGTATTTGCATTTCCCAGGTGATAACTAGTCTGGGGACCACATTTGGGGAACCACCGGCTATGGTGGTCAGGGGTCCTGGAGGGGATGTGGTTTGGAGGGAGGGAGTTGGCTGATGACTGGCATAGAAATAAGGGGCCAGGCTGGGAAGCACTTGGAATTGTGGAAGGGAGGTGTGTAGACCTTTCAGGATCTCTCTGCAGCCACTTGGAGTACATTGTGAAGCTGGGAGACATAGAGGTCCATCACAAAGCCAAAACAGCAGCCGCGGTCCCAGTTCTAGACATTGTTATCCACCAGGATTACTCTTCTTCCGGATCAACCTCAAATGACATTGCTCTTGCTCTGCTGGCCTTCCCTGTGAATTACTCCACCCACATCCAGCCTGTGTGCCTCCCTGAAAAGACTTTCATGGTACAATCTGATACTAAATGCTGGGTGACCGGATGGGGCAAACTGAGTGAAGAAGGTGAGACTATGAATCAAGGTTCCAGCAATCTTAGGCCAGGGAAGAGGCTACCTAATGACCTAGGTTGATCTATGAGCTAAAGGGAGGGGTGGGTAGAAGATGCTGCCAGGGAATAATTTAGCAACTGTTTGTGAATTTCTGCTGGTTCATCAGGTCTTGGGGACTTGGATACCAAGCATGATGGGTTCTCTCCAGGGTGGATTTTAGCTCAGGGGATGATAGGCAGTCCACCAATTTAAGTTGTCCCTGTTCCTGGAAGCAACTGCCTTGGTAGATAGCTTAATGTTTGTGAGAAGAGGCCAGAAAACTCAGTATGGGTGCAGGGTATCCTCTTGGGAAGAGGCTGGATTTGGTACCTGTGGGGCACTACCTGTCTGAGACGCTATGATCCAGTCCTAGAAAATCAATGCTTTACTGATGCATAGGACACCCTCTCACTGCAACTAGTGATACTTTGAATGACAGATGCTTGGTTGTCATTTTTCAGGCTGACAGGACTTTGCCTTCTCTCTCCTGGGCTGTTCTTGCTTCATTGCCTTGGTTTGGATCTTAATCTCCTATACTCACGTCAGTGTTGGGCCTCATTTCCTCCAGTATCAAATGGGGAAAAACAGCTCATGCCTAAGAGGATACCTGTGTGTTAACGCACTGTATAGAGAACAAGAGGTGGTACCAGCCACTCCTGCCTTGTTCATCCACTTATGCATGTGCACTCACTCTTAAATTATCTCTTGGTAGATCCAGAAGATTTAGCACCAGCTAAGCTTCAGGAGGCTGAGCAAAGCATTATTCGTTATGAGAGATGTAATGAGGTACTCAAGGAAAAGTTGTCAACCAAGACTAACTTGGTCAAGGAAGGGGCAGTCTGTGGCTATAATAAGGAAGGAAAGGATTCTTGCCAGGTCAGTTCATGGGCTCCTTGCTGCTCTGCATTACAGTTGTCTCCTTAAAAATTTCTCATCTTCAGGCAGTAGGTTTTGGGGTGTTCCCCAGTCCATCCATTCATCCTTATTCAAGTTAATGGACAAACCACCAAGCTTGTCCTTGTGCCAGGACAAAACATCATGGCTTCCTGGGCTAGCCTGGTAAAATCCTTCAGGAGAGAGCAGCTGATGCTGCCTGGAGGAGGTAGGGGATGATCCAGGCAGGTAGCAATATGAGTTCTGGGTTTTGAGCCCCTTTTATGTGACATGCAGTGTGTTCGAACAATTTACTCACTATTTCCTCATAAAAAGTATATTATCTTGGCTTACATTAAGTTTTTAGGAATGCAGTTTTTGAATAAGTAGAAAATATTTGTTGAAAAATTACAATTCTAAAATTTCAGATCTAAATATTCACAAAACTAGAGCTGATAGGTGCCTGAGGAAGTCCCATTGTGCCTTTATCCCCAACACTTTGCAGGGGCACTCAGCCTGCTGTGACGTGGATCAATTCTATTGCTGCAATTTGTTTCTTTCTCTTTCTCCAGGGAGATTCTGGGGGACCCCTGGTCTGTGAATTGAATGAAACATGGATGCAAGTGGGGATTGTGAGCTGGGGCATTGGCTGCGGTCGCAAAGGATTCCCTGGAGTTTATACAGAAGTTAGTTTCTACAAGGACTGGGTCATTAGACAACTGAGTCAGGCTTCATGTTGGGACTCAGCAGGCTTCCTCATCTTTAGCCTGTGTCTAGTGCTGCACCTGGGCATCCTGGTGACCCCATGATCACCTCAGCCCATTCCTCTCCTGTTTCTGAGTCTCCCACTAGGCCTCTCCTCCGACCTCCCTTTCCTTCTCAATGCCCTTCTTCAAATTCCAGTTGGGATCCATTGCCCTGGAGAGATCCACAGTGGAGCATGACAGGGGGACTGGGCCCTGCAAAGTGTCCTGGCCTGCTGGTCTGGTCACCCGTTGCAGGCATACCTGGGTTGTGGTCTGCCTGGTGAGAAGGGAGGGGTGAACTGACCCCAGCCAGAGGGACAGCTGGTCTGCCAGGTGGAGCACGATGCTCATGGTGGCTTCTTGGGAAGCATCTGCAGAGGATAGACATCATCAGCAGTGGAATGAGTGCTAGACCTGGCTCTGGTTTCAGGGCTCTCACCTGAGACTCTGTCACACCAACCAACTAGGTGACTACTCAGATTGAGAGAGAAGGAGGCACTGCCAGCTCCTTGCAGAGGTGCAGAGGTCGGCACTTCCACATCTTGCTCAGTGTCTGGGACTGATGGAAAATGCCCTGTACCCAGAGTGGATCCGTCTGGGAGTGCACAGCCTGTGGCATGCAGGCTTCCAACCCAGTCTGGCACCCCTTCCTCAGTACCCTAGTGGCCACATCCAGGGACACCCCAAGTTGTATTGAGGCAGTTTTGGAGTATGGAGATTTCAGACATGAACTGAATAAATGTTTCGAGAGTGTCCTGCGTGTTCTGAAGCTCTGCTCATCTTGGGTGTTTGGTTGCACGTAACATACTCTGTAGAGAACCAGGTCCTCATTTAGCTGAGGAAGTCACTTACCGTTCTTATTAGAAGAGGTGAGTCCTGTGGAGGGTTTTGTTAGGTGGGTACTGCTCCTTGTATGCCTGGCATGGTTACCAGCGTCTTTGCAGGGGCTCTGTAGTTGGGTTTAATGGCTTTGCAGCTAGGGACAGGGGATCAGAAAAAACTGCACGGGGAAGTAGGAATGAAGCTGAGGTATGAGAAATATTCTTGTCTTACTGCTTCTTTTTGCTGCTTACCCCACTTTGCTGCCAAAGATCTGTACTCCTGCAGGGAGGGAGAGAGGCTGTTACACAGGGTTTTCACCTCACGCAGAGCCTGGTGTCTCCGAGTTTCTCTGTCAGTCTGCTGAACAGTCCCTCCTAATCTCCTGCTCTTTGCCAAGCTAAGGGTCAATGTTTCACACGCAGTGTGTTCAGTGGGCATCTGTCTCTGCTGCCTGAGGTTGGGTGGGATTGAGAGACAGCTTACATCAAACCCTGTCTCTTAATGAATATAACACCAACTGCTTTAAGAAACCACGGAGCATTCATGGATTAACAAAATGAAATTTAACTTCTTTTGACTAGAACACATTTTTTTACTAGAACAATCAGGTGTTCTTCATGAGCAGGTGGCTCTTCTCCATTGTATGCTCCCCCCACTTTTAGCCTTGTGGTTCATGCTTTACCTGTGTAAGAAGCCCCTGAAGGCTTATTAAAATTCACATTACTGGAAGTTTTCAGTCTTGTAGGGCTGGGCTGGGCTTGAGAATGCACTTCTTTTTGGCGGTACAGAGGTTTAAGCTCAGTGCCTTGTGCTTGCTAGGGAGGTGCTGTACCACTTGAGTCATGCTCCCAGCCCTTTTTGCTTTGGTTTTGAGATAGGGTCTTGCGTTGGTCTAGGCCAGCCTTCTATTTACACTTCCTGCTTAGCTGGAATGAGAGGGACATCATCTTCCCCTTCACACACCAGCTTTTATTGGTTGAGATGATGGGGGGGGGGTCTCAGGAACTTTTTGCCTGGGCTGGCTTCAAACTGCCATCCTCCCAAGTGGCTAGGATCAGAAGCATAAGCCACCTGGTCCAGCTGCTGGTGCTGCTGCTCTAGAGACCTCACTCTGAGTAGCAGATGTTCAGCCGTAAGAAGAGGAGAAAGGCAACCTTCTCTTGAATGCATTGGCATTGGAATGGCACACATAGCCTCTACTTATGTGAACCCAGTTAAACACCAGGTTGGGTGAGCAGGTCCCCAGAGTCCATCTGGATACCAGGCACTACACAAGGGAAATGGGAATCTTGGTGGTTATCTCCCAATCTCTGCCAGGCCCAGTGTATGCTTCTGCTAAAAGCCTGTTAAAGGTGGTACCAGTCATCACTCCCTTCAGCTGCAACGACCTGATCTTACTGGCTGCCTGTAGAAGAGGCTGAATGAACGCCTTTGTTTTTTCAGGTCTCCCCCAGGACTCCTTTAGTCTTAGATCCAGCACAGTGCATCTTCCTTAGCCTTCTTGTTTCTTTCCCCTTTTTTTCCAGGTTCTCAAATCACAAAGGAGTTGTCAGGGGCTGGACAACAAGGTGCCAGGCACTCCCAAGCATCTGAGGCCGGTGATAGGGGTGCGAGGGCTGCCAGTCCGCGCAGGGGCGTGGTCAGGACTTCTCGCGTCATCACGTACCGTAGCACCTCACGTGCTCACGTGCTGAGACGCCCCATGTGCTGGTGTGCGGGCTGCATAGGTCTACGAGGCCACCAGGTGGGGCTCCACCCTGCCAGCCTCATGACCACCTCAGGGTGCAGCCTGGACGCTGGGTCCAGACCCTCGAGGTCGTGGGTCCTGAGTTGCCCCGTGCTGCTGCTTCTCCTGCTGACACCTCCGCCAAACTCTGGTAAGGCAGATGTTTCATAGGCTGTCTTTCCTCTCTTCGCCTCCAGGCGGTCCCTTCTCCTAGTCAGGCTCAGCAGTAGTCAGCTACTAGGGCCATCAGGGTCTTTTGTATGCCCCATCCCCAGCTTATGGTTCCCTTTCCTCTTCTCCTTCCTCCCCGCACCTTAAGCTCCTGTCCACTGTGGCCTCTTCCCACAGCCACACCTGCACTCCAGCCTCCCGGGGACCAGCAGGGCAGACCACCCCTGCCTTCTCTTCTCTACAGCCAGCCATCTTCCTGCCAGTCTGGACACTGTGGCTAATGTCCAGCCCTCCCAATCCACCCTCTTCCCCCACACCTTCAGAGCCCTCACGCTCCTCCCTCCCACCCCGGGCTCTGCTGTTCCCAGGTGGCTGGGCACCCTTCTGCAGGCTCCACTCTGGCATGCACTTTGTCCCAGATATGTTCCTGGGACATCCACTCAAAGGAATAGTCTACAACTCGCTGTCTTCCAACCAGTAGAAAACACAGGCCCTTAGGTGCTGTCTTTCTTGACTCTCCTCCAGTTCCAGTGGTTCTCTCCAAACCTGACTGTGTCCAACACCTCACCCACTTCTTTAGGAATCAGAGACATGCTGCCTGTGCTGGGTAAGCCTGGAGTAGGGTCTCCCTGTGCTGTGATCCTTGTCATCCCTTCTCATCCATCTGTCTTCCTCTCCTCTCCTGTTTGTTCTCTGATCACTGCCAGCCTTCTCAAAAGAATCAGTCTCTTCCCAGTACTTCATTTCCCACTTAATCTACTCCTGGCATGTCTTTGTCTGTTTCTCCTGGATCTTTCTACTGCTTCTTCTTTTTCATTTCTTGTGGCTTCCTGAATCTCTTCTAAACCCCTGTCTCCTCTGTGTTTACCCAGGCCACCCAAGGTCTGATCATCCTTGACATGCTAGTGTTTCCCAAGGTGCTGCCTGGTTTCCTTCCCTTCTCTCTTCATTGCTTCCTGGATAAAGTCATTTGCCCTGGCTGTTGGGCTGCCATTTATGTGATGGTGTTACATTAAGCAGTGGGTCTGGATGTGCAGCCATCTGCTGGATGTCTCCTCCCAAATGACCTAGAAACATCTCAACTCTTTGGAGTTCAAAACAGACCCACATCTTCCTACAAACTGGCTTCTTCTCTTTCTCTCTTTTCTAACTCAGTGGTTGGCAGCCAATTTTTTCCATATCCAGACACCAAAGTCATCGTAGGCTAACCCATGTCCCTAAGTCTTACATCCAGCTGACCATGTCTGCTCTCACAGCCACTCCCTCCTTTAGACTTCACTGCTTGTCTGGGTTCTGCAGAGCCTCTAGTGGGAATCTCACTTCCTTCTGTCTTGCCACCTTCTTGTCCATTCTCCCTGCCGCCTTCACAATACAAGCCTGACCCTGCCACACCTCCATTGACCTCCCAAAGCTTCTTGACCACCCCAGCTTCTTGGCCTGGCTCATGAAGCCCTTAGAGGTTGACCTCTGTTTTTCTTCCCATCTCTTTTCTTGCCACCATAGACTCTGTGTTCATCCTCTGGAGACTCCAGCATGCACTATGATAATGACATACAAGGGATGTCATTGTCACTTTTCATTTCTGGAAGACAGCCTGGTAATGCTTCTCTCAGAAGTCTCTTCTATCCACTACCTTTTCTGGACTCCCTGACACCTCTGGCCCTATCTGCACTGATCCCACATGGATGATCATGTATTTAATGTTTGTCTCCCCTGCAGGGCATGTGTTCCAGGCTCTGTCTGGTATGCCTGCCACTTGCCCCAGCCTCTAGCTCCAGCTGGAGACAGAGTGGGAGATTAGGAAATGTTTGGTGAATGAATGAATGAACTAACTAATGGGAAATGTAGCTCTTTGCTGCCATCCTGTCATCAGCTCTTTCATCATCTCTGTCCCTCTTTTCTCTTCCAGGTTTTGAAGAGGATGAAACCAAAGTAGGTGGGTCAGTGGGTCCCTGCTGTAGGAAAAGTTGCCACTCCCGGAAGGATATGTTCTGAATGGCATCACATAGAAAGCATTTCTGGGTCAGTAGGGAGCAGGAATTTGTTCTAACAGGTCTGCTTTCTAAAGACCAGCCTGTGGTTGCCAGGGTATACAGACCTAATGGTCCAGAAGAAAGAGTAGCTGGCCCTCCTGTGGAAATGCAGTCTTTTTGAATTCAGCCCAGGCTGCATCTCCTCAGGGGACACATCCAGCAAGTTGATGTACACTTTCCTGGGGTTCTATACTATTCAGTTGCAAATGGAGCCTCCTGGCCCTGGGGCACTGTCTATAGAGCCTGGCTCTTGGGGTCTCTTGTCTTTTTCCCTAGATCTTGGCGGGGGGTGGACCATTGGGTTGCTTCTGTCCTTGGGTTCATGGATCTGTTGTCCCAGGTCCTGCCAGGATGACACTCTGACTTATTATCAGATGTTTGGTTGATTATGTTACTCCTGCTTCTGTGCATGCCCCAGTCCTGTTCCTCTTCTCTCTCCTCCAACTTTTCTTATATGTTCATTGTGTTCTTGTAAAAATACATACTGCTGTTGTGTGTGTATATTTTTCATTTACATAAACAGTATATATGCTAGATTTCTATTGTTTCTTCTTTTTACTCAGCCACATTTAAAGATTTTTTATTTGGGAATAATTTTAAATGTACAAAATACAAGAAAGGCCAGATGCCAATGGCTCACATCTGTAATCCTAGCTACTTGGAGAGGCAGAGATCTGGAGGATCGTGGTTTGAGGCCAGCCCCTGGCAAATAGTTCTCAAGACCCTGTCTTGAAAAAACCCATCACAAAAAAGGGCTAACCCCAGTGCTGCCAAAAAAAACACTGCAAAAATACAGGTAGTGCAATGAACTGACACACATATATTTTTTTTTTGGAGTCAGCTGAGGGTAGCATACAACATGGCTTTTTATTGCTGAATACTTTGGTATGTGTCTTCTGAGAAAATGCTCTTGCATAACCACATATAACCACAGTATACTTAACGGCTTCAAAGGTTTACTTTGATACCATACTTTACCCATTATCCAGACTCTTACTTGGTCAGCCTGTTGATCTCTGATCGGTGGTATGTGAGGATATTTTTGTTGCCATGGACCTGCCAACTCTTGATTCACCTCTTACTTTTTTTTTTTTTTTTTTTGCCAATCTACTAAGTAAACCATGACTTCTTAGTGTAATTTGTATTTTGCTGAGTTCAAACATGCCTGTGCTGTTAGCCCCTTGAGGTTCCTTTTTGGACAAATTGCCTGACCTATCCTTTGCATATTATCTATTCTTTCCCATTGATGTCCTAGAGTTCCTTATATATTCCTAGTAAAAGTCTCATATTGATTTTAGATGTTGCAATCTGTCCTATGTTAACTTTGTTAACCGAGGTCAGAACTCCTTGATTTTGATGTAATTCAGTTCGTTGATAACTAATGAATTAGCATAAAGTTTTATGGTATACAGTTTGTGTTTTGAGGCTTTGTTTGTTTGACATGAGTCCTTCTTACCTCATGTCACATGGTCTGTTAACTTTTGTTTTGCCTTTCACCTTTAGGCCAAGTGCTATTAGCAAGGAATCCAGCTTTGTTTTTCATGTTGTAATCCAGTTTTCCCATCACCATGTACTCTACAGTTCTTTATGCAGTGATTGTGGTGATCCCTTTATTTACATCAAATTCCTGTATTACTTGGATAAGTCCGGAGCTCTCTGCCCTTTCTCATTGGTCTGTTTGCCTGTCCTTGGGTCAGTACTACACTGTTTTTGTTTCTGTGGCTTTCATGTGACTTAATATCTGACAGCACAAGGAGTTGTTCTTTGTTGTGCTTTTCCAAATACTGAGCTTTTCATAGACCTTTGTTTGTTTTTTTTTTTTTCTTTTGATAGCACTGGGGTTTGAACACAGGGCCTCATGCTTGATAGGCAGGGACTCTACCACTTGAGCTACTCTGCCAGCACTTTTGGTGTTGGGTATTTTTGAGATAGGCTCTCTTGAACTATTTGCCAGGGGCTGGCTTCAAACCCCGATCCTTCTGATCTCTGCCGTCTCAGTAGTTAGGATTACAGACAGGAGCCACTGGCACCTGGATACCTTTGTTTTTCAATTTCAATTTTAGAGTAAGGTTATCAAGTCTCTTAAAAATTCTAACACGGAAAGTGAATTTATAGATTAAACCTGGAAAAATTGCATCTAAAATATTTAGTGATTAAACAGCAAGGACTGTCTTTCCATTATTTTCTGTGTCTTTTATAAGAGTTTTAAATTTATCACCACACAAGACTTGTGTACTGTTAGGCTGGTTGATTTCTATGAATTTTAAATATTTTGCAAATGAAAATGTGTCTTGAATATATTTTCTAGTTGGATGTGCTGGAATAGAGAAGTGTTAGTGATGTTAAAAGTACATTGTTTCACTTAAGTATTATATGCCTACAAAAAATTAGAAAAAACAAACAAACAAAAAAATTCACACACTCTACCAGTCTACTAGCCCTAGGAATTATTACACTGTGAACACACCTGTGTCCTCACCACCCAGATGGCAGACTACTGCCTTTCTTTCACCTCAGTCTCCCCCAATTTGAAATGGGGACAAGTCCCTGACATTATAGCTTTGTGCAAATTGACCCTGTAGGACAACTCAGTCATTTTCAGCCTCTTCTATGTGGTCCCTGTCCTCTCTGGCATGCTTGTTCCTAAAGTTTGTGGTGAGCCCTGGTGGTCAGAGGATTTGGAAGAGACCCACCGCCATTGGCCCTGGGAGGTGAGCCTCCAGACAGAATACCAGCATGTGTGTGGAGGGGCGCTCATCGAACCCAGCTGGGTGGTGACTGCTGCCCACTGCATCCAAGGGTGAGTGTGGCCCATGTGGTCAGGGCCTGGAGACCCAGAGCTATAATGGGCCCAGCCAAGAGTCCCATCCCTCCATGAAACAGTGTCAGAGGAGGGGTTGGGGAGGAGTGAAAGGGGTGTCTAGAACAGGGAAGTCATGAGGATCTCACAGGAGTCCAGGACTGAGTCAGAGCAGGAGCCCCAAGCAACAAAGACTGTATTCCAAGATGAACAGCAGGAAAACTCAGAGCAGCCCACCAACCCCTGAGAACATCCAGGGGTACCAATACGCATGCACCTGCTGCACAACGGGTGGACCAGGCCTCCTTGAAGTATTGTGAACTGTGGATTCAGAGGCAGGCAGAGCTCTGACCCTGAGGGCCCCCAGGCTAGATTAGGCCAGATGGGGGTGGATAGAGCAAGTCAGGCAGGACTCTCTGGTCCTTGGAGGAAGTGGGCAGGTAGTTGTGTGCAAAGCTGGGTGTCTAGGAGGTGGGCTTCTGTGTCTCTTGTAGCACCAAAGAGTACTCAGTGATGCTCGGCACTGCCCAGCTGCAGCCTGTGAACTCCACCAGCGCCCTGTGGATCTCTGTGAAGGACATCATTATGCACCCCAAGTACTGGGGCCAGACCTTCATCACAGGCAATGTCGCCCTTCTCCATCTCCACACTCCTGTCACGTTCAGCAAGTATGTGCAGCCCATCTGCCTCCCAGAACCCAGCTTCCACTTGAAGGTTGGGACACAGTGCTGGGTGACTGGCTGGGGCCAGGCTAAGCAGCGCTTCTCAGGTGAGCCGGATGCGGGTGGGGGTAGGGATGGAAGCCCAGAGAGTGCACGTGTTTCCTCCCAGGGCTTTTCCTGATGACCCCTCATGGTGCCTTTCAGGAGGCTGTGGTCATTGCCTCTGGCTCCTGCGGCTAGAATGAGTTAGGACCACTCCTCACATGCTGACCATTGTCATTGTCACAGTTTACACAGGTACCTCATTCACACTAGCAGTGCCTGGGCTGCGCCTCTTACAGAAACTCATAGTCAGGGGTTCCTCAATTCACTTCCTGCCTCATTCCCTCACTTGCCACATTGGAGCATCTGCAAAACACTGAGTCCTTGGCATTGGAAATGCATGCTCTACCAGGAAGGAAGTGGCAGCTTGAGTGTAGAGAGGTAGGGCACATGTTGACAAGGAAGGAGGCAAAGACCTTGTCAGGGGATTTTGAGATCAAGCCCAGAGATCTGGGGCTGGGCTCTGGGCACAGGGGCTGCCTGAGATGCCCAAAAGAGGAGTAGGTATTAATCAAGAGGAGTAGGAGACATCCAGGGCAAACCATGTTCAGTCTGAAGAGAAGCACCATTGGTTGGGGTTCCAGCTTGTAAGTGGCTGCATTGGAACTTGGCGGTGGCCTGGTTGGTTCAGCAGCAAAAGAAGGGGACCCTGAACCAACACTCAGAGGGTGAGGGGCTTGCCAGACAGGGTACACAATGCATAGGGAGGGACCCAGTGAAGGAGGGTTCATAGGTGTGTCAAAATGGGGCTTGGGTGACCTCAAGGCTAGAGGTGACAAGACCCTGGACAGTCAGGGCTGAGTGGATCTGGGGGTCATTGCCCACCCCCTGGGCTCTTCCACAGCCAACTCCACACTGACCCCAGCGCTGCAGGAGACTGAGGTGTTTATCATGGACAACAAGAGGTGTGACCGTATATACCACAAGAGGTCCAGATTCCCCCACATCATCCCCCTTGTCCTGAGGGACATGATCTGTGCCACTAATTATGAAGAAAACTTGTGTCATGTGAGTTTCTGGTGGGGGTGGGGGGCCAGGGACAGGGTACTTGGCTTACTTCTTTGTTACCATCATCACCTCTTCTCTTACCTTCCTTTCTCTGTCACTTTGACTTTGGGTGCTCTTCTGGGGTGAGGAGCCTACCTGAGGAGCCACAGGGAGCCCCCACTAGTGAGACCCTTGAGGAAGTGACTTGTCCAAGTAGAACTCAGAGGGCAGTCATTATGGGTCCCCTAGGCCCAGCAGAACCTCCATCACTCCTCTCTCTCTCCAGGAGGATGCTGGGGGGCCACTAGCTTGTGAAGTGGACGGCAGATGGATCCTGGCTGGGGTGTTGTCCTGGGAGAAGGCCTGTGCCAAACCACAGAATCCAGGTGTGTACAGCCGTGTCACCAGATACACCAGCTGGATCAAGAAGCAGCTGAGCAATGGAGCACCCTCAGGCCTCTGCCTCTCCTCCTGGCTTCTCTTCCTGTTCTGGCTGCTGTAGTCCTTGATGGGCCTGTGACTTTTCTACCCTTCCTCTCCCTGCTTTGCCTCTTGTGAATGGTGCCAAATGGGGGTTTGACCAACAAACAAGAGTCTGGGTAGCCCCAGGAGACTGGGTCCTGGTTTGGTATCCTAGCAGGAAGGGATGTGGCAGATGACTAGGCCATTGGTGACCAAGAGGAGAGAGTGGCCTAGAAAGGTTCTGGAATCTGAGATGAGGATAGCAGGGATTAAATTTGTGCAAATGTGAGCTGGCTGTTTTCTCTGCTCAGTTTTCGGGTGCCCCTGGGTGTTGGCATGGATGGGAGGGTTAATTCTGCCAAGGGTGTTGGCATGGATGGGAGTTAATTCTGCCAAGGGCTGAGGGGTTTTTCTGTATCTAGTGCTAGAGCATAGGAAAAGGGCCTGGGCCTGCAACCTCAGTTTGCAGCATTGTCAGGAGCAGTTAAACATATCCTATAGGCTGATGGTAGGAACAACCCACAGACAGCACTGCAAGCTCAGCTTTTCTTCTTTTCTCTCTTCTTTAAACTGATTACAAAATCATTATACGTTCATTGTAGCAAGTTAGAAAACACAGTAAAGCCTAGTATTTGGTCAGTCTTAGTGAGTGTTTCACGTGCATTTAAAACAAAAGTGTATGTTTGGGAACAAAGTGTGAGCTAAAATTGGTTGGCCCAGGCTTGGTAATTGTGTTACTCAAATGGTCTTAGCACCCCACATGTTCTATGTCTATATAATCTGTTGATTTCTGAGGTTTATACAAGAATAAGAATTTGTCTATTTCTTCCTACAGTCCTTACATTCTTGTTTGATGTGTTTCAAAGCTGTGTTGTTAGGAGTGCAAGGCTAGCGTCTGCTATATAGTGTGGGTTACACACATGATCAATTGAAAAATACAGCTTTTAGGCTCAGTGGCTCATACCTGTAATCCCAGCTACTCAGGAGAAGCTCAGGAGGATCAAGGTTCAAGGCCAGCCTGGCAAAAAAGTTAGTGAGACTCCCCCCCCATCTCAACCAACAATGTGGGAATGGTGAAGCATGCCTGTCAGCCTAGCTACTGAGGAGGCCAGAGGTAGGAGGATCTCAGGCTGAGGCTAGCCCAGGCAAAGTTCGGGACTCTACCTGAAAAATAGCTAAAGTAAGAAAGGACTGGGATGCCTGCCTAAGTGTGAGGCCCTGAGTTAAAACCCTAGTACTGTCAATAAAATAAAATGAAGTAAAGTACACCTTTGTCTCACTTAATAGTACTTTTTTTTAAAAAAGATCCAGATTAAATAGAGTTCGTTCTTCATTCTGAATGTTTTTCTAATTGATTAAGGTATCATTTTACATTTTGTACTTATTTCCTGAAGCTTTTGCTTGGGTTTATTTTGGACTTTTGTACTTGATTTGAGTAATTCATTCGTTTTCATCCATTGTTATTCAATAATAAATGCTTTTATGGTTATGAATTTGCCTTAGACATACTTAGTAAGGGTCTTTAAAAATGTATTGCCTTAATTATTAGACTTTTCTAAGTAATGTGTAGCATGTCATTTATTTTCTCAAAATAATTTGATAAGGCTTACTTTGTAGTTTTATTTCTTATTTGGAGCCAGGAATTGAACTCGGTCTCACAAATGTAAGCACATGCTCTACACTGAGTTACACCCCCAATCCCAATGGAATTTGTTTTTTAAACTTTCAAATGACTTTCTCTCTCTCTTTCCTTCTCCTCCTTCCCTCTGTTTTGGTGGTACTGGGTTTGAATGCAGGGCGTTGTACTTGCCAGATAGGTGCTCTTCCAGTTGAGTTACCTCCCCAACCCTCATTTACTGTCTTATTATTAAATCTTTGTTTCTCTGAATCTTGGTAAAAGATGTGGCCCATTATTCGTTCAGCATTTAGGGAAGTCATGGTTTTGTTACTACAGGGCAGTTGTTTTTTATAGCTGTTCTATTCCTCAAAGACAGAATTGAAGGAGGATCTCCCAGCACAAGTGAAGGTTTTCAGCTTCTCATGTGTTGCTGATGACTTTTGTCTGATGGTATTTTATTGGTGGACAGAACTTTATGTCAATACCTATTCACTGTAATTTATGTTTTCTCAACATAGAATAACTCTGTTTAAAGCTTCTGTCCAGAATCTTTTTGTAGTGATTAACATTTCCATGTTTACTTACATCTATTTAATATATTTTTGCCCATCTTTTTACTTTTAACTTTTTCATGTGGCTGTTTTAGGCACATCTCTAATAAGTAACATGTGAATGAATTTTTTTCTTGCCCAAAAAATAAGTCCTTATCTTTTAAAAGTAAAATTTTACACATTTACCTTGATTGTGATAAACATTATGTTTGTTTTATTAACTGACCGCCAAAGTATTATTTTCCACAGAGGCAGAAGAGTGGACAGGGGTTCTCTTATCTGGAATTTCTCATTTTCTTTCTCCTTTCTTGTTTCTCTGACTTTCCATGTTGAGGGCATCTGATTGTAGAGTTACCATTTCCTTGATTTTCTACCATACATCCCTGGACATAGTTTGTTGTACTTGTCTTTTGGTAGGACTGGGGTTTGAAATCAGGGCTTCACACTTGCAAATCAGGCTCTCTACTGCTTGAGCCACACCTCCAGTCCATTTTGCTATGGTTATTTTGGAGATGGGATCTCTTGAACTATCTGCCTGGGTCGGCCTGCAACCATGATCCTCCTGATCTCAGCCTCCCAAGTAGCTAGGATTACAGGTGTGAGCCACTGGTGCCTGGCTCAGGCACTTGTTCCTGGCTCAGGAACATCATACAGCAGGTTCCCTTCTGTACTTGACTTAGTTCACTCAGTGTGTTTTTAGGATTCGCCACATAGAAACATGCAGCTGCATATCACTTGTTCCTGGTGCCAGGAGTGATTGGTGTGTCTGTCCCTCCCCAGCTGCATGGGGGCATTTCCAGCTGAGACGTTCCCTAGTGGCCCTCTGTGAAGAGCCTTGCGTATCTTCCCTGTAGCCCCTGTGCTGTAGGGAGTGAAGCTGTGGGTTGTGGGGTTGGCATAATTTCTGCTGGGCCAAGCAGTTTTTCCCAGGTGTGGTGCCAGTTCATGTCCCTCAGCTCCCTGTGGACATGATCACCTCATGTCCTCACCAGCCCTGGCAGCAGGGTGTAGAAGAAAAGTGAGCTGTCCTGTGGATAGTGTAAAGAAATGGGGTCCTTAGGGAAGAAGGGACCTTAGTGCACTGCTGGAGAGTTGTCCCAAGATAACATTTGTTCTGCTGACTCATGGAGACTCCACCCTGCAAGCTTCTTCCTCTCAGAAAGCCACTGTCTTTGATCAAACACACCTAGCCTCCCTCTACCAAGGAGAATTCTTTTGAAAATACAGACGCTGAAGGAAAAAGGAAATCTCCATTTCACCTCAATCCCACACTACAGGAAGAAGTCGTGCCTTAGTTTCCACACCTCCAGGGGCTTATCAGAAGGGCTTCATTAAAGGAAGCTGAGCACTGAGGGTGCTACATAGACCATATGCCAGGTGCTTGTCACAAGTCAGATGATACCTGGTGCTATCACAAGCCAGACATGGGACACCATTATAGGTTCAGAGCTAGGCCTGAGAGGGTGAGGGCACCATTGAGGCCAAGGCTGGGCATCAAGTACACTGCTGAGAGCTGAGCGTGGGTGCACTGTCGTGAATGAGGCATAATCATAGGCTCTTGTCCCAGGGACCTCCCTGACAGCAGCATCAACTCATGGCCCTGGCAGGGCCTCGAAGCTGCTATAGTGGGTAAGTTCCCAACCCTGGGGCAGACACAGGCATTCTGCTGTCCTGAATAAACCACTGTGAGTTCTAGAATCCTTGCACAATGGGGATGCCTCGCCTACTAAGAAATGGGGTCCTTAGGGAAGAAGGGACCTTAGTGCACTGCTGGAGAGTTGTCCCAAGATAACATTTGTTCTGCTGACTCATGGAGACTCCACCCTGCAAGCTTCTTCCTCTCAGAAAGCCACTGTCTTTGATCAAACACACCTAGCCTCCCTCTACCAAGGAGAATTCTTTTGAAAATACAGACGCTGAAGGAAAAAGGAAATCTCCATTTCACCTCAATCCCACACTACAGGAAGAAGTCGTGCCTTAGTTTCCACACCTCCAGGGGCTTATCAGAAGGGCTTCATTAAAGGAAGCTGAGCACTGAGGGTGCTACATAGACCATATGCCAGGTGCTTGTCACAAGTCAGATGATACCTGGTGCTATCACAAGCCAGACATGGGACACCATTATAGGTTCAGAGCTAGGCCTGAGAGGGTGAGGGCACCATTGAGGCCAAGGCTGGGCATCAAGTACACTGCTGAGAGCTGAGCGTGGGTGCACTGTCGTGAATGAGGCATAATCATAGGCTCTTGTCCCAGGGACCTCCCTGACAGCAGCATCAACTCATGGCCCTGGCAGGGCCTCGAAGCTGCTATAGTGGGTAAGTTCCCAACCCTGGGGCAGACACAGGCATTCTGCTGTCCTGAATAAACCACTGTGAGTTCTAGAATCCTTGCACAATGGGGATGCCTCGCCTACCCTGCCCCCACATTCCACCATAAGGAGCAGAGGGCTGGAGACCTACTTGCCATGGCATGCAGACCAGGAGATGTTCAGGACCTTCTTAACTCCCCACTTCCTTCTGCCAGAGTTGATCCCTATGTGGAAGGTAGGACTTCAGAACAGGCAGGGGCAGGAGGAGTCTGTCTGCCAGAGTGCCTGTGTTAGTTGTCCTCATGCCTGAAGGGTCTCCTGGGATGGGGATGGGTGTGACCTTATAAGGACCCCTTCAACCCGTATGAACCATATGATTTAGGGCAGTTCCAGTTTTCAAGGCAATCATGGACACAGAGGACAAAATAGGGGGAAACAGACGTGCTTGATTGGGAGGATGCACAATGACACTGACAACACACCAGGCCCCGGTGAGGCAGCTTACGCCTCGATAACCTGTGGCGGGGGTGGGCATGGGCGTGCCACATCCCAGCAGGAAACCCAGGCCATGAGAGCTTTAGAGGCTTGGGAGTGGCAGAACCCTCGTCGGAGGTGAAAAGTTTGGGTAGCAGAGGGTCTCCACGCTGCCACCTTGATTATGCAGGTGGTTTTTTGGTGGTAGCCTTGCCTTGGGTCACCTTCTAGCTGTCCATTTTGTGCTTGGCAGGGAACTAAAGGGTGGTGACTGTGAGCAGGACATGCTCCTCAAATCAGGGACTGTCTTTTCCATCACTGTGTGGCTCCCTCTCTTTAGACTATTGCCTCATTGAGTGAGTGAGTGTGAGTGGATGAGTGGTCTTTTACTCTGAACTACACTGTGCCACTCTCAGGCATTTGTGATGTTTTGGGGTGGTAAGGATGTGTGCAGCCCCACGTAGCCGGTTGCTGTGTCTTTGATGATGGGAGTGAGGTGGGTGTAGGCTATGACCTTACAGGGTTGGAGATCACAAGGCCAATACACGTCTTCTGATGGCCATGTGTGACTGTAGGAAAGCCCATGACATTCCTGCTTGTAAGTGGTTTGTGCTGACTCTGGGACTCCAACAAAGGGTAGAGACCAAGGTCTGTACTAGAATTTGTTTGAGCTGCTGAGTGCTGCATATGCAATGGTGACATTGTGCCCAAGACAAGGTTGATCTGTGATACCTTGCACCCCCAAATAATCCATCATGGTTCCCTCCAGATCATCATCCATACTTGGTGCTGGTACCTCCTGCTGGCATCTCCAGGTGGAATCCTGTTAGTCCTGTGTAAGATTTGGGGGAAGGGGATGGGATTGGTGTCGTCCTGGACATGAGTTCTGAGAAGTGCTGTTCTTTGAGAGCTGATGAGCCTGCTGAGGCTGAGGTCACTGAGGCACTGAGGCACTGAGGCAAAGGTCACCACCGCCCCCTAGAGCTGTCACTGTGTAAGTGGTAAAGCTCTTTTTTGCAGAACCCTTGCTCTGTTGGGCCTCAGCTTTATGAGAAAAGAAAGAGCAAGCTTCTAGAAGCCCCTTCCCTTTCCCTGGACGTGGGACAGTCTTCACTGGGGCAGACTGTAATCAGAGAAGGTAGTCACAAACTCTCCTTGGTGTACCAGGAGGGCCACAATTATGGCTCCCCCTGGGGGAGACAGAAAATAGGACAGTCAGTGGGAAGGGTAGTGGACCAGGGTTAAGCAGCGAGCAGGTGAGACAGCACTCCATGGAGATTAGGGAATTCACAAAGTGCCTATGGATTCCTGTGGAAAGTCACTGGTTGAGGTAAAAGCATCCAGTCATGGAAGTCAGGGATCAGTGGCCATTTACATTTGAGAGTAGCAAGAGCCTCAGGACACATGTTATGAATGAGTTCAAATATTAGCAGGTCTATGTATTAGTCAATGTTGTGTTATTACAATGAAGTATCTGAGACAGTCTACTTACGAAGTAGAGGGGTGTGTTTAGCTCACAGTTTTCAGGTGTCAAAGTCCAGGATCTGTCATGTGGGGTAGGGAGGGGTAGGGACAGAACCCTCTGCTGAGGGCAACAACTGTGTGTTGGAGGAGTGGTACTCACATCTCAAACCAGGACGCCGAGAGGGAGCGGGGGAGGATGGAGGGTCCCATGGTCTCCTTTGAGGGCATGCCCCCAGTGACTTCAGGACCTCCCATTAGGCCTCACCTCTTAACAATTCATAAAATTTCCCAGTGTTACCTGGGGACCAAGCCTTTACACTTGAACCTTCAGCAGGGGGGGCACAAATCACACTCAAACAATAGTGATGTCAATGAGGCAGGGCCCTGCAGATGCATCTGCTAATGTGTACAGTTCGCCAGAGAAAGGTGTATTTCTTCTCCTCACCACTACACCAAGGGTGTCCCTGAGGCCAGGCTCAGCTGTGGCTACTGCCGCTGAGTCCTGACCCTTTGCATGGCATTGTGTGGGCTGCTGAGGGACACAGGCTTCCTGTAACGATGACCGCTTGTAAGTGTGTCCAGCGTCACTTCTGTGAAGAGAGACCCATGGCATCAACCCAGACTCGGCAGCAGACTATAAATAAGAAACCTGCTCATTTTTCTTCACAACCCTTGCTTATAGAATCTTTCTCCTTTTCTCCTTTATGATAGACAGTTATTATTGTTGAAGTTTTCATGAAGAATTATCAAATACCAGTCCAGGCTGGTCTTGTTTAAAATCTCAGTCTGTCATCCAGTTCAGTGCAGCCTCCTGTCCTCCCACTCCTGCTCTGGGGACCAGTGGGAGGTAAAAAGGGATTAGGCAAACATCTTTATCCACTTTCTTATATGGTCACAAGGACCACACACCTCCAGGGCGTGGTCCCTGGGCTAGAGTTATACAGTGTGACATCACTGACCCCTGCTTTTTGGCCCACTTGTGCCCTGTCACTTACCCCTTGGTTGACAACTCACCCTTCTGATGGTTTTCTCTTCCTCTTCACATCCCCCCATCATTTGTTTGTATAAACTATAAGCAGGGATGAGTCCTGGAGTGATGGCTTGAAACAATCCCCAAAAGGTTCATCTGGTCCCCCTTGTTCAGGAGTTTTAAAATGTGGAGTGCCTGCTGCCTCTGGGTCTGTGGTTGACAGTTTTGAGGTCATGGGGTCAGTCCCTTCCTACTGCAGATGGCAGTGGCTGCTTGTGTTCAGGCTGGGAGGCAGCTCCCTCTGCTTTGACAGTTTCCCATGGCCAGCAGTGTGAGCTCTGCTTTTTGTAGCCCCTTCTCCGCCTGTTTCCTCAGGGTCATGGTTACAGGCCTGCGGTCAGACCAACATAACCTGCAAGGTGGTGAAGGGTAAAGTGGAGGAGGTAGGCAAGTGGCCATGGCAGGTGAGTATCTTCTTTCTGGGAATGTACACCTGCAGTGGCTCCCTCATCCACCGCCAGTGGATCCTCACTGCTGCACATTGCTTACAAAGGTCAGTCCCTTGGGTCACCTATGTCCAGGGTGTTTGCTTTCTGGCCTGGGGAGTGGGGGTGGGGGGCTGGTGAATTTGGGTATCTGGGACTAGGGGGCTTGGCTGGGTGATCCAGTGCTCAGCCCCTGTCTCCCCAACCATGGGTGGCCCTATTGCTCCTCACTGCTCCTGTGATCTGCCTTCTCCCTGGGCCTGCAGATCCAAGGACCCCACCCATTACTCCGTGGTGTTAGGAGCCCAGCGCATCCCAGACAACAGCACTCAGCTCCTGCTCACAAACCTCGTGATTCATGACCATTTCAACAATAGGATGTCCAATGACATCGCCCTCCTGAAGCTCAGAGACCCTATCTTCTGGTCCCCCCTCATCCAACCCATCTGCCTCCCTACCAACAATTTCAAGCCAATCATAGGCAGCATATGCTGGGTCATCGGGTGGGGACACAAAGGGAGAAAAGGTGAGTGCAGGGAGCCGAGATCTGTCTCTGCAGTACACAACCCCATCATGAGGTCACTCATTCATCTTTTTATTCATTGTCTGTAAACATTTCTGAGCACCTGCACAGGCTGCATCCTGTCCTGACCTGACCCCTTATACAAAGACATGCACAGTATTGTAGGGGAAAAGAGACAGTGGCCTGAGTAGACCTCAATTCCCAACGTTAAATCCACTGCCAAGCCCTTAGCCTTGGCATGGTAGGAAATACAGCCTTGGCTGTTATTGGGGTTTTGTGTGTACAAGGTGGCACAGGGACCATGACGTCTGGGGAGGTCCTAAAACATTGAGGGGGACCTTTCTGGTTACTGTGCACACTGGTTACCTTGAGGCACCCATAATTCCCAAAGGTCTGGCCCTGTTGGTGCTCACTGGCATCCTAGTATCTGGGAACCTTCTTGTAGTCCTGCCTTCCAGGTGGTGTCATATCTGGACTCTAGGGTCATGCCACCTTGATGGTGGCTATAGAGCAATGCTTGCTATTACAGAATCTTTATTATCAGGGTACTCTCTCCCTGTCCTCATTCAGTGCCTTCCTGTTGCTCCAAGGTCCTCAGGAGACCTTTGTTTAATTTTCTTCATGAGCTGGGACCCTTTTGAAAGTCAAATTGTGGGCTGAGGCCTTTATAAAGCCACCATCCCAGGCAATGCCCTGCCTCTCACATAAGCAAACACAGACAACTCTGGGCTGGAAATATGCTAAGAAGTCAAAGAGACCACAAGATCTCTCTTTCCTCAGAGACCTCAGAGAGCCCCTACAATGTCCAGGATTTGTCTGTCAGGATAATAAACAATGACATCTGTAATCACCGGTACCAGTTCCTCCTGTCAATGAACCAGAAGCAGTTCATCGGCAATGACATGCTGTGCGTCAACCCAGAATTGGGCTCTGACACTTGTAAGGTGTGGAGAATGTGGGTGGGGGAGGGAGGAGGCTTCCAGAGGTCCCACTTTCCTTTACACATGGCCTGGGGGACCCGCTAATAAATCTCCTTCCCTGAGTTTCAGTTTCCCAGTCTGTAAGGCAGGGGTGAAATGGAGATACTGGTAATATTTCATAGGTCATTTTAATTCTTCTGAACATCTGCTCCAATTGTTTTGGAGATAGATCCCTCTTGATACATGAGGCTCCATGTCATTCGTTAATAGCTCCATAATATTTTCTTTTGTGACTCTGCCACAATTTATCCATTCTATGGTTTAAAACAATTGAGGGCTGGGCACAGTGGCTCACATCTGTAATTTCAGCCACTGAGGAGGCTGATTTTGAGGGAACACAGTTCAAGGCCAGCCTAGACAAAAAAGTTAGCGAGACAACCACCTCAGTAACACAAGCCAGGTGTAATGGTGCACACCAGCTATTTGGGAGGGCCATAGGTAAGAGGATCACAGTCTAAGCCAGCCCAGTCAAAAACTTGAGGTCCTATCTGAAAAATAACTAAAGCAAAAAGGGCTGGGGGTAAGGTGGGTGGAGTGGCTCAATTGGCAAAGCACCTGCCTTGCAAGCACAAAGCCCTGAATTCAAAGTCCAGTACCACAAAAGAAAAAAATATTGAGGGAATTTCCAGTTCTTTCATATCAGAAACTCTAGCACTCTGAATATCCTCACACACAACTGCCCATTTGCATGTCCAGAATTTCTCAACAGGGTGTATCCTGAGTTGGATGTGATGGGTCGCGGGTTGTATTAGGTTGCATTATCTTCATGGTCGTTGTCTAAAGTTACTGTGTTAACCTATATTTTTACAGCAGTGTTTGGGAGTTCCACTACTTCCTATCCTTGCTAGCTTTTGGTAATGGCGGATTATAAAACGTTTTCCGTTATGATGGGTGGGACATAGTAACCCATTGTGGTTGTAAAGTACGAGACCCCAATTACTAGTGGCTCTGTGCATCTTTTCTATTTATTCACTCTTCAAAATTCTTCTTCTATGATTTTCTTACTCACAGAGGCTGTACATTTTTCTCTTTGTCTTTTTATCATTTTTAAATATTCTGGATACGAATTCTATGTTCATTAGCTCCCAGATTTCCATTTATCTTTTCCTTTGTTGAACAGCAATTTGGATTTTATTTATAGAGTATATTGTGTTTCTAGCTTATGCTTTTTTGTGTGTCTTATTTTAGAATTCCTTCCTTGCTGGGTGCCGGTGGCTCATGCCTAGCTACTCTGGAGGCAGAGATTAGGAGGATCCAGGTTCGAAGCCAGCCCAGGAAAATAGTTTGCAAGATCCTATCTTGAAAAAACCCTTCACAAAAATAGGGCTGGTGGAGAGGCTCAAAGTGTAGGCCCTGAGTTCAAAACCCAGTACCACACACACACACACACACACACACACACACACACACACAAAATTCCTTCCTTTGCTCGAGGTACATAAAGACATTCCATATTTTGTTATGAAAACTTTGGACATTTTGGTTTTCTACATTTTGAATGCACATGACATTCATTTTGTGAATGATGAGAGAGGAATCTTTTCTCATTTTTCTCATGTGGGCTGCCAGTTTTCCCATCTCCTCCACCGAAGGTACCACCTCTCCGAGATCAATCTTCTATACACAGCGGGTTAATTTCTGGAGTTGGACATCTTAGATCATTTTCTTCTTTTTTTGTGGTACTGGAGTTTAAACTCAGGGCCCAGAGTTTGCTAGGCCATGCTCTACCACTGGGCCACACCTCTGCCTTTTTTTGCTTTATGTTATTTTTCCAGATAGAGTCTCTTCTTTTTGCCCAGAACTGACCTCAGACCAAATCCTTCCCCTATGTCTACCATGTGGCTGGGATTACAGGGTGTGCCACCAAGCCTGGTGGGTGAATAATTTATTGTTATCTTCCTTCTATTGCTTTAGCTTTAAGCTGCAAACTTTCATATGTAGCATTTTATTGTTATCCAATCTTAAATGTTTTATATCATTTTCACTTGGGTTTCATTTTAACCTATGAGGATTTTTTGCTCTTGCTGATTTCAAGCAGTGTCCCAGTAGTCATAAAAACAGTTCCATAGTGGAACAGTTATATGGGATATATGGAATCTTCTTAAGTTGCCTGGTTGTGGTTGTGTGTGTGTGTGTGTGTGTGTGTGTATTTGTTTGGTGGTACTGAGTTTGAATTGAAGGCCTCACGCTTGCTAGGCAGGCGCTGTACCACTTGAGCCAGCCCAATTTTTTTTTATTGTTTTATTATTCATATGTGCATACAAGGCTTGGGTCATTTCTCCCCCCTGCCATCACCCCCTCCCTTACCCCCCATTCTGCCCCCTCCCTCTCCCCCCCACCCCTTCAATACCCAGCAGAAACTATTTTGCCCTTATCTCTAATTTTGTTGAAGAGAGAGTATAAGCCATAATAGGAAGGAACAAGTGTTCCTGGTTGAGATAAGGATAGCTATACAGGGAGTTGACTCATTAATTTCCTGTACGTGTGTGTTACCTTCTAGGTTAATTCTTTTTGATCTAACCTTTTCTCTAGTTCCTGGTCCCCTTTTCCTATTGGCCTCAGTTGCTTTTAAGATATCTACTTTAGTTTCTCTGTGTTAAGGGCAACAAATGCTAGCTAATTTTTTAGGTGCCTTACCTATCCTCACCCCTCCCTTGTGTGCTCTCGCTTTTATCATGTGCTCAAAGTCCAATCCCCTTGTTGTGTTTGCCCTTGATCTAATGTCCACATATGAGGGAGAACATACGATTTTTGGTCTTTTGCAGCCCAATTTTTTTAAATGTATATTTCATCATTTTCAAGTTCTATTAATTTGTCTGATTTCCTTGGTCTCAATTTGGCTTTGTTTTTTATGTCATCTTGAACAGAAATGTATATTCTTTCTAGTTTTGTGTTTAAAACACTTAAACTCATAAGATCACCTTTGATTTGAACTTTGAATTCAACTCTTGAATTTCATACTGCTGTGATACCATCATCATTATTTTATGTTAAAATATATTTTGTGATTTGGAAGGAAATGTACACATTTTGTTAAAAAAAAAGTAATGCATACATGCAAAAATTAGATGAGACTTTCCCATAGTCAAACTATCTAGAAAATTCCACTTTAAATTGCTTAGTTTATAAAGCAGATACCTTAAAGCAACTGAGGCCAATAGGAAAAGGGGACCAGGAACTAGAGAAAAGGTTAGATCAAAAAGAATTAACCTAGAAGGTAACACCCACACACAGGAAATCAATGTGAGTCAATGCCCTGTATAGCTATCCTTATCTCAACCAGCAAAACCCCTTGTTCCTTCCTATTATTGCTTATACTCTCTCTACAACAAAATTAGAGATAAGGGCAAAATAGTTTCTGCTGGGTATTGAGGGGGGGAGCGGGAGGGGGCGGAGTGGGTGGTAAGGGAGGGGGTGGGGGCAGGGGGGAGAAATGAACCAAGCCTTGTATGCACATATGAATAATAAAAGAAAAATGAAAAAGAAAAAAAAAAATAAATTGCTTAGTTTATATCCCTGCTGTGGGTGTAGTTCAGTGGTAGAGCACTTGTCTAGCATGCTTAAGGTTCAATCCCCAGTGCCATAAGAAAAAAAAAGTATATATGAATCCCTAACATCATTTGTCTCTGTACATAAGAACCTCAAATACGTTTGGGATTTTTTCTGGTTTTTATTTTATTTTGGCAGTACTGGGGTTTGAACACTTGTTAGGCAGTTGCGCTACTACTTGAGCCGTCCATGTCCCCAGCCCTTTCTTGCTTTAGTTATCTTTTGGGTAGGATCTCTCATTTTGCCTGAGGCTGGCCTCTGACCACAATCCTTCTACTCATTCTTCCCTAGTAGCTGAAATCACAGGTACATGCCCCCATGCCTGGCTTGTGGAGTCTCACGGGCTCTCTCTGCAACTGAGATCCTCCCAATTTCTGCCTCCTGAGTACTTGGGATTGCAGGTGTGAGCCACCATACCCATCCCTTGATTTTGGTTTTAACAAGTCTGTTATATAATTTTATTTCTCAACTTTTAAATTTTCACTTAAAATATATCTTAGATTCTTTTCCATGTCTATATATTAAATATATTCCATTCTCCTTGACTACTGCATATTAATTTTCTCATATGGCCACACACAGTCTACTTAAGATTCTCCTATTGATAGACATTTGAGCTCATTTCAATATTTTTTTTACCATACCAGAGTAAAAGTCTTTGTTCATTTTAAAATTTAGTAGTTGTTGACAGATTAGCCTCCTCATTAATCATTTGTATTAACATCAGCAGTGGATGAGCACCATGGTCTCACTTTATCACTAGCATTAGCATTATTTTGACTTTTTTTTTGCCCTTCTGAGGATTGAACCCAGGGCCTCATGCATGCTAAGCACAAACTCTATCACTGAGCTACACTGCCTCTTTTAACTTTTGTCCTTTTGGTAGACTGAAATTTACATGTGGATTTAATTTCATGAAGTGGAGCTCCTGTACCCAGATATTAAATAGTGAGTTTCAACAAAGGTGTCAAAAACACAATTGGTACAGCATTCAAAGAGAGCTGTGTGACTATAAGTACTACTATAGGTGTGGACACGGGGAGGTGTGAGAGGTGATGTTGGGAGGAGGATTTCATGGAATGAACTGCTCTGATCTCATCCCTCCGTCTTTGAGGGATTGGGGGGGTGGTGTACCTGTCCCATCCTTCAATTCTGCTGGGGGTTGTGGCACAGGGTTCTTTAAAGCGTGGAATGTGAGCCCCAGAAACTAGGCAGAGAGTCAGCTGTAAATCCCCTCGAGGCCAGAGCGCACAGTGGGCTTGCGGGGTTCAGATGCCCCTGCTGCGGGGAAGAAGGGAGCTGATGGCAAGGCAGGGGAGGGCTCAGAGCTCCTTTCTTTTTCCTTCCCAGGCTTCCTGTTGGCAGAGCCCCAGCATCGGGAAGTTTTACTGTACACCAAGCTTAGCAGTGTGATG